CCATAATGTGAATGTTCCTAACTCGAACGGTCCATAAAAAATATCTGTGATTTATTCAAAAAAATAAATAAATTTTTTAATTAGCGTGTTAATACTAATATTAACTTAAATTTTAAATAGTGAATAATCTCCCCTAGCTTACACGTCATTATTATTCATTTCAGACTTAGACTTTTTACCCTCAGCATTATCTACTAGTTTTATGTCTTTATCGTAAAGAAAAATGAAGCATAGTTTATATACAATATATGGCATTAATATTAATCACTAATATTATCTTGGTTTATGACTAGCTAGATTGTGTCAAGGAGAATACAATGTGTCCAATATTACACTAAGTGATTTGAATTAACTTCAACTTTGCTTCATTAAATGGATATAGTGATTTATTATGACGTTGTTGTTGCATCAATGTTTCTTGTGGATTTGTTTTAGTTAAATTGTGGTGAGCATTTGTATTGTAATTTGTAAGCTATATGTACCGTTTGTATTGAATAAAATAGCTTTTTGGTGGGAAGAATAATCAGCAAAATTTAGTCACGAGAATTCATTCGTCAAATTCAAAATGCATCTTACTAATATCATTAATTGGTATCAATACAAATTATTATGATAAGCTCAAAAGGTTGAATTTGTGAATCATCCTAACTTTCATACTTACTATTATTCATCTTGAATTATCCTTAGCATTGTTGTCATTTTAGTTTCATGTCTTTATCCTGACAACCAATCAAAGAGTCATCATTTGTTTTGGCTACAAAACAAAGCACATGCATGCTTATTAATTAATTTTGGTTTAACGTTGTAATTGAGGTGTGATAAAAGCCGAACTAGTGTCCTTCAACAGCTGTTAGGTTGAACGTAGTGTCTTTAACATTCGTTTTCAATGGCAGGTTAAGAGAGGTTCCCATTTCATTAACGTTAAATCTATGAACTCTTTAAATGGAATCATTGATAAAATCAACGATCCAATGATCATTATATATAATTATTTTTCAAGCTATTTAATTTTGAGTTTTGGAGAAAGAAAGAAAATCTCATCTTCTCTCCTAATGACAAAATCAGTAGTCGGTGCAACAATATAGTACTCATGAGTTCAATATTTGAACTTTGTAGCAAAAAGTGGCTTGTAGGGACCTACTAATACTTTTTTTTTTTTTTTTTAACAAACACCTTCTAATACTAACAAAGTTGGTAATAAGAGATGGTAAGAAAAAATAATAGTAAGTATAATTTATGCCTTATATATATATATAATCATTTAATCTTCTATGGCTTTTTTTCATCTAAAATAATTCTTAATACTGTTAGAAATTTAACTAATCTGTCTGTTTTATCCTGTTAAAAGAAAAAAAAACTGAGGATACAAAAAAAATAAAAAAAAAAATAAAGCCAAATATATACATTTGAAACTTACAACACTGGCAAAAAAAAAATTAAAAACTAAAAAAAAAAGGAAAATAGAGGGAAAAAAATGATGTAAACATTCATATGGGCAATTTGGTGGAAAATTTTTGTAAACACAAGAATTTAGGGAGTATAGGTTGAGTTCAGTTGTATATTTGATATTAAAATGGGAAAAAAAAGTTTAGAAACAATTTTATTTTTCCTACTTTTGTGCAAGTGGTGAAACTTCGTAGGGTCTTTTTGTTGTGAAAAGTAATATGATATCATGTATGTGTATCTCATTTTGCTTGTGAAATTTTTGGTAATTAAGCTACTTTTTTTGCAATAATTTGATGAAGTCTGCATAAATTTTCATGTATATTTTTTTTTCTTGGACAATAACATGAAATTAAAAAACAAAGAACAGATAAAAAGAAAAACAATTAGGCATTACGCCTTGACCAACGAACACCAATAGTGTCACTATATAGTCTTCCTAAGCAACCATGAGAAGGCTCTTCAAAAGTTTGAACTGTCCAAGAGAATCCATACGCGTAAGAGGCTAGCCACCATTTCCTTCACGATGAATGTGTGAGATATGGACCTGCCAATTAAGTTGCAGCATGCATATAATGTGTTGAACCAATGTTGCAGATGGATGATTTTGAAGACACCCCTTAGTTATCAAATGTTGTGCTGTGAGTGAATCTCCTTCCAACCAAACTTTCCTATATCCTTTATTCCAAGCCAACTGAAGACCTTCCAAGCAAGCCCACAACTCAACTTGTAGAATCGTTCCTGAACCTAAGTTCCTGCAAAATCCTATAATCCATGCTCCTGAAGCGTCACGCAGCACTCCTCCGCACCCTGTCCTAAGGCCATTATCCAAGCTAGACCTGTCAACATTAATTTTCATGCATATTACTTTCATGTTTATTATCTTATAAGTTGATATAACTTTCAAATTCCTGTCTGAAACGACAAGTTGAAATTGGAATGAGGAACTCATTGGGTTGGATTGCATTTTTTTCCCTTCTATTTTCTATTTTTTTTTATTTTTAATCTTTTCACTCGGTGTTTAGTTTCTAATATATTTGATCTTATTTTTTATTTGTTTTAATCTATTTTTTTCTAAGAAGGTAAAATAGACGCATTAGATAAGTTTCTAATGGTGTTACTGATAGATTTGGATGAAAAAAAAATCGTAAGAGATGAAGTGATTAAAAATATAAGAGGATAAATGATTCAAAGAGAAACAGTACGAGGGTTTTTGAAATTTTTCTAATGTAATATTTATATTTTTATTGAAAATTTTTTTTTTTATTTATATAAAAATGAATGCATCTTATTAATTTTTTTCTTTTTTCTTTTCACAATACAATCTACTCATTTTTTTCTGTAAGTACGATAAAAAAAATTTCTTTAAAAACAGAAATGTTAACAGAATTATCTAATAGTGCATGAATTAACTATTAGATTTAGAAACTGGTCATCATTAGAAAATTTCTTGGAATTAGGAAACCTCAGTTCATTGTTTGATTGAGATCAAATACATGCTAACATGGTAAGGGAATACAAATCAAGGAAAAAAATGAGAAATAATGCAAAATCAAGTTGATCTTTCGTTATACAGAAATTCAAATTATATGTTTAAAAATCAAAGAAGAGATTCTAACTTTCTTTGTTTTTTATTTTTGGATTTTCAATTAGTGTTTAAAAATTTAAAAATAATCTAAATCCTCTTGACTTCACGAAATTGGGGAATGTGCGACAAAATAATTATGAGTTCGATCCCCACGACTTTAATATTATTTATAAATAATTAAATATTATAAAATATCTTAACAAATATAAATAGATAGGTAGATATATTTCTTGTTTCCTCTTGAAGTTCAGTAAGCTCTTATGTAAGCAGATTTACGTCAATTATCTAGTACCCAAAAAACAACAGTAACAATAATTATTCTTCTCATTGACCATAGTTTAAAAACCCAGTCAATAACAGCATGTGTATGCGTTTCATTTTCATTTGCCATAATTCCATTTGACGCTGATATATCAACAATAAAAGCATTTCGTCTCTGTAATGTATCCCAAGAAAAGAAAGGAAAAGAAAACCTTTTTGTCTTGAAGTATTTGACCGACATTCGAGCAAAGAAAAAGCGGCAGGAATCAGAATCAGAATTACGCAGTAACAAAAAATTTCTTTTTCTTTTAAACTATCTTAGTATTTTTTTTTATGAAAAAAATATTTATCATTTTAAATGACATAGAATTATGTCATTTTAAGAGAGAGATAAACATAAAATAATATTTTTTATTTAAAATTTAAATTAAAAAAAACCATCAACTTTCTCCAATATTATTTTCATTTTTTATGTCTATTTTTTTTCTAAAATGATATAATTTGTGTCATTTAAAATGACAAACATCAAACCCTTTTTTTTATACTTATATCTTGAAAAAACAATTAAAGAAAAAAACTTCTTGTTGATACTTCTAATATTTTTTTAATACATTACTTCTAATATTTTAAATATTACACAAAAAGTAAAAGCTTCAAATAGTACTTTTTGTCTTATAACTATAAATATAATATGATAATTTTTGTTGTAACAATTAGAATTCAAACACAATACAAAAATATTTTTTTGTTCAAACATAAATAAATTCATAAATTTACAATTCTATTAAGATGCTGAGCCTTGTTCATCAAAATAAACCTATAAATAAATCGAATTAAAATTCTTGATATAATCAAAGTACAAAGCTCAGATTTTTCTTTTATTTTATTTTTAAACATTGACTCGTTACCCTCTATCACTAAAACCCACATAAAGAACTTCATTATTAAATGAAAATGAATGGTGATTAGTGATTACCAGTTGCTAACATTTATTAGGGGAAAGAGGCAATTGCAATTAATTATTTTGCTTTTTGAATTTTAAATTTGATTGATATTCTCCACTCACCTTCGCATATTATTCATTCAATAACGTTACATACATATTAATTTAAATATTCTTATGTTACTTTTTTTTTTACAAGAAATATATATTTAAAAAGTTTTTAACACATTTTTTTATATTTATTTTTTAATGAAAATAATTAAAAAATAACAAAACATTTGCATATTTTGTATACACCTCACACTCACACCTGTGGGTGCAACAACAGTTCAAGGGGTTTTGAGGTGCAAAACCCATTATAAAAGCCAAACAGAGAGAAAAAAACAGAGTATACAGAGAGAGGAAAGAGAAGAAGCATTCTCTCTGGGTTTTTTCTCTTGTTATTCATTCATTTCCACAATTTTCTATTTTCAACCCTTCATTTGCTTTTACACTGCCATTGCAGTGTTCTTCTTCTCTTTCTAATAAGTGTTCTGATCATGGAAAACACTGAGGCATGAATTTAGCATCCTCAATACCCCTTGCTTAGTGTGCAGACTACAAAAGCTAAGAGAAAAATATTATTGCTTATTTTACCAAAGTTGGGTTCTTTTAAATCCATTGTTTCATTTCAATCAAGTGGGGTTTTTCCTTAGCCTCACATTCCTCTTCTCTCTGTTATTTTCACCCCAGTACAGTAAAAAAAAAAACAAAAAAACGTTTCGAATGGATGCGTTTCGAGGGTCCAGTGATGACATTTCCTTGCAACTGGGGTTAATTTGGAACCAAATCAAAGAGCCACTGATCGTGCCCCTACTGAGAATTGCAGTGTTTCTGTGCTTGGCCATGTCGTTGATGATGTTTGTTGAGAGGGTTTACATGGGCATTGTTATTTGTTTGGTGAAGCTGTTTGGTCGAAAACCAGACAAACGTTACAAATGGGAGCCTATGAAGGACGATGTAGAGTTTGGAAACTCGTCTTACCCAATGGTTCTTGTCCAAGTCCCAATGTACAACGAAAAAGAGGTAATTTTTCAATTTCAATTTCAATGTTGAAGTTTGAAGAATTTTTTTATTCATTTTGAGTTAGACATTCTCCTAAATGCAGGTTTATCAGTTATCAATTGGTGCAGCATGTGGGCTTTCTTGGCCTTCAGATAGGATCATTATACAAATTCTTGATGATTCCACTGACCCAACAATCAAGGTATAATGCAATTTTTTTTTTGCATGGAAAATTGATGGGGTAGTCTTATTATTGGAATGGTAATGTTATTAATGATATGATAAATGAATTCAAGAGGGTTGTGAATGATTGTGGCAAGTGAACAAAATGCAGGAGTTGGTGCAATTGGAATGCAGTAGATGGAGAAGCAAAGGGGTAAATATAAAGTATGAGGTTAGGGACAACAGAAATGGGTACAAAGCAGGGGCTCTCAAAGAAGGCATGAAGCGCAGTTATGTGAATCAATGTGATTATGTTGCCATCTTTGATGCTGATTTTCAACCAGAGCCTGATTTCCTATGGCGCACCATCCCATTCCTTGTCCACAATCCTCAAATTGGTCTCGTTCAGGCTCGTTGGAAGTTTGGTAATTTCATTTTCTTTTTTCTACCCTCTCTCTCTCTCACTAAAAGTCTAATCTCAACAATTTCTCGGTCCTCCTTTATTGTTCACCTATAATCTTGTTTCTCATCATTAGACCATTCTTATTGACTCGTTATAACACTATATATTATAATTAAAGTCTCAAAAATATATAGTCAAACTATATATATAAATGTTACAGTTATATTTATAATTGAAAAATTTTACTACTGTTGATTTTTGTCAATTTAATATTTATAATTTTTTTGGGTCATATTTATTAATTAATATAATTAATTTTTTAATTAATTATAAATATTAAAATGATGAAAATCAATACAAATTAATTTAATAGTAAAAGTAGTAAAAATTTTCAATAATAAATATAATCGTTGTCTATATAAAATATATAATTCCTAATATATTACAGTTTTAGATGCATGAGGAATAATGGTTAAGATAGAGAGTAGTCTACCAAAAAAAAAAAAGAGTAATTTTTTTTTATTCTTATACCACAGGCAATATCCCTTCGGTATATGTATTAGAAGAGATGTTAGTAATGGATGTCATTTATAATAAATAATTTTAATTAAATAATTACATGAGTTGTTAAATATAAATGAGTTGGGCATAAAATCTCTTAAATGTCACACTAGGGTCAATTGATCTTACCCGTATTATGATTGTATGATAATTTAATTTGATATAGTAAGAATTGCAATATTAATGAGCCAAAACAACAACATTAGTTCAATTCATGAAGGAATTTGTTCCTCGAATTCGAATCTTAAAAAAAAATATTGAGATAACCCTACTCTATATGGACCCTTTGATGCTTGAATAGAACTACTTAGGTTTCCTATGAAGGGGAAAAAAGATAAACTTCGGATGAACCTTAATCTGGGGGATCATATAATAGCTTGTAAAAACACAGCTGTGCTTTTAAAAAACTGTCGGTGGGATGTGTTTTTGTTTTGGAAATGTTCAGTTCGGTGGAACTGGGATAGGTCCCACTTTGTGCTTGAATGACCCTCTAGTTTAGCCACGTATTCATCTCTTCTCGTCTTCACAAAGACCAGTGTGATTTTCTTTCTTAGTCTGGTTTCTTTTATGTTCTGGAAAAAAGTGGGATTGGCAGGTTAACAAATTGGATACAGTCTGTCATGAAAAGACATCATCATAAATGAACTGGTTGATGATTTAAACATGATATAACAATAATGGATTCCGGGTATTATGACTCGTAAGGATTTTTTTTTTTTTTTGGTAAGCTCTCGTAAGGATTTATTTATGTGAATATAATGTGTCATGTTATATGTGAATATTTTATTTTATATACATAAAAGTAAATAAAATTTATTTGTTTTTTTTTCTACTTCTACTTATTTTGTATGTGTTACATGATGAGAATATCATTTTCTCGTGATGAAATAATTTATCTTCTTTAATACGAAAAACGTTATCCTCAATCATTTATAGCTAGAATGGGATTAGTTTATGTGGCCGAAAAGTGAGATAACAATTGGACCATAGTTATGAAATAGAATAATTTGGGAGTAAATGGCCTAGGAGGCAAATAAACGAAAGAAAATGATACCCAAAACCAACAAATTTTTTTACGTGAGCCATGTAGTAACTTAGTTTGTAATTTTTTTATATGATAAGTTTATCTCAGAGATGTAATATAAGTCATTTACCTGTTTTTACTAAATATTTTAAGAATTGGAATAGTTAATTTATGACATATTATCAAGTAATTAGAAATTTCATTCTTGTTTCTTTTAACATGGTAAAAATAAAATAATATCTGAAGGACACTTGTATCTAAAAATTCGTTTAGATGGAGATATATATGAGAAATATAATAAAAATGTTAATGTATCTTCATTTAATAATTGTTTTTGAAATAACTAATTCATTTAAATTTATCTTTAATTAAGTTTATAAAAAAATTGTGATAATAAAAACACTTATATATAAATGGATCATAGTAGTTGAAAAGTATGTGCAAGTTGGTAAGTAATAAAGAAGGGCAAATTAAATGGTTGTTTCAAGTTTCAAGAAAACATAAATTTGATGTAGAGATTTTAATCCCGAATTCCAAGTGTTGGTATTCTTTTTTTTTCTTTTTTTTTCGGTACATGAAGTGTTAGCATTTGATATTTTCATTTGTGCATAAAATTATTTATATCAGAAGTACGAATTACTAAATAAACAGACTAAATATGATTATCTTTGTCAGAATGGTATTTCCTTCAATTTATTTATATATTTAATTATTTTATTATAGTAATAAATCTCACAAATACATGAAATACTCTTTGATAAGAAAATTTGATATGCATGTTTTTCTAATAAATTACTTACTAAGTAATTAAGTATAGTTGCTTACATAAGAGAAAATGAAAAAATAAAAGATGTGTAAAAGATAAAGGAAAATAATAAAATAAAAGGTGTGTTGATAATATTCGACGATGTGCAGTGTGTTACATGAGTGGCTTTCAAGAATAGATTTGGGCATGTGAGTTACCACAATTTTTCTGCTCAGACATTATGAATTTTTTTTATTTTATATCAAGGAAGTCTTGATTTTGGTTGGTCAAAATCTAAGTCCGAAAACATAATTATTGTGGATTGCTGTGACAGCATAAGAGACTTGAAATCTGCATGCGTATTTCAAGGGGTATATCTGTTGTCTTATGAGCACAACATTGTTGTTGGTATAATTCTGGTAGTTGATGTCATGATTATTCATAAAATGATTCTCTTCTATCTCCTCTCTTTATATATTTACATATATATAGACTAACACTATAGACTCTTTATAAGTAATAGTTTATTTTTGCATAGATTTTTTTTTATTTTTTTTTTAACCTTGGAAAACACACATTCGAAAAAGAAATCATCTACTGTTACATCTGGCAGCTGCATGTGCAATTTTAATGGTGGACCCATATTTCCCAGTCGTGTGATCAATATCATGTCTATCTAAAACTAAAGGACAGTTGAATTGATATCGTACTCTCCATAAGAACAATTACTAATTATATAGTGAAATAGCAAATTTCATTGCAGCAAGGTTGTTGAATTTCACAGTGTGTATTGTGTTTCTTTTCTTCATTTCAGTGAATGCCAGTGAATGTTTGATGACTAGAATGCAAGAGATGTCACTAAATTACCATTTTACTGTGGAACAAGAAGTGGGGTCTTCCACTTATGCTTTCTTTGGCTTCAACGGTAATCTGAATCAGCAAATATTAAAATAGAATGAATGAAATCAATTTATTCATTTTCCTTTTAAAAATGAATAATGGATTTTAAGTGCAACAATGAAAGGAAGCTCATGTTTTCTTGTGGTTGCCAGATTGTGACATGGTGACCTTACAACCAACTTTTGTACTCTTAAATGATACAGGGACTGCAGGTGTATGGAGAATTTCGGCACTGAATGAGGCTGGTGGGTGGAAGGATAGGACCACAGTGGAAGATATGGACCTGGCTGTCCGAGCCAGTCTCAAAGGATGGAAATTCTTATACCTGGCCAATTTACAGGTTCCACTTTCTTAATTCAATCTACAGTATATATGTTGGGAATTCAAATTATATTGAGTATGAATGGATTACGAGAGAACCATATAAGTGAAGGATTATGAACTCAATTCAATGTGGTTTAAAGTTAGGTATTGTCACGCGGGTTCAAGGGAGAGCGTGTGGCGGGGGACTACCACCAATGGACTAGGGTTACACCATTATATTAAGTGGGTCCGACACCATATCACAACCCAAGATTAGCGCATTAGCCCGTTACCAACCAATGTGAGTTGGGCTTTGTTCTAGAGTGTACTCAAGTTCTAATGAAGGCTATAGCACTATAGCCCGTGGATTCGAAACTATGTCTCAACCCTAAACTTTAAGGGCTCGTTCGGTGGACAGGATAGGATAACGATAGGATATGATATGAGACTAATAAGGGTAGGATATGATATGGGGTTGAAAAGCCTATATCATGTCCTGTGTTTAAGTGTTTGATGAGCACCTGATTAACAATCTGATAAGATTATGTAGAAGGAGAAATGAGAAAGAAAAAATAAAATATAATGCAATAAATACAAATATATTAGGTAGCGTGGGGATATATTATTTAATCATAACCCACCAAATAAGAGATAAAAGTAGGATATGATAAGTTATCCTATCATATCTTCTTTATCAGGTGCTCCAAACATGCCCTAAGGTATTAGGTGCATGGGTCCTTCCACTTATATAGTGCTCACTTAGTTCATTCTTAACCAATGTGGAACTTCATTCATCACACTTAAATATCCCATCAAGAATAAGTTGGTCCCCCTTCAAGTGTTTGAACTTTCATCTATATTATTATTTTATTTTTTTTGAAAACTTAGGAGAGTTTTTCAAATACGTATTGATCCCCAATTGTGTTACCTTACCTAAATTAGTGTAAACTTTAGTGTGAATTTTATTTAATTCCCCCCCTTACAAAAGTTACGGCTCCGTCATTGGGCCATAGTCTCCCCGGATCATCTAACATGGTCAAAGCTGCCTATCTCTTTACATGTTACCAAAAATTACATGTGTATTTGTGTGTGATAGAGAGAAGGGTGTTGATGTTTCATTGGTTTCATTTTATGGATTTTTTTTATTTTTATTTTTGTTGAAATGGGATGTATTGGTCAATGACATGAGCTATTAATTTGACTACAGGTTAAAAACGAGTTACCAAGTACTTTAAAGGCCTACCGCTACCAACAGCACCGGTGGTCTTGTGGGCCAGCCAATCTTTTCAGGAAAATGGTCATGGAAATTATGAGAAACAAGGTAAGTTTGCACCCTTGAATTATTAGGACAAAATATACTGGCTATTTATGATCTAAACTAGTGTGCGTCCATTGCAGAACGTGTCTTTGTGGAAGAAGATACACGTAATTTATAGCTTTTTCTTTGTACGGAAGGTCGTGGCCCACATCAACACGTTTGTGTTCTATTGCATTGTATTACCTGCGACAGTTGTGGTCCCTGAGGTTGCAGTCCCCAAGTGGGGTGCTGTGTATATCCCTTCCATCATCACACTTCTAAATGCAGTTGGAACTCCAAGGTCTTGCACTTTTTCTCAAGTTTTCCTTTGTTCTATTTCCCTCTACAATAAAGTCTCATAAACAAAAGTAGGGTTAGATGATCCATGGAGCGCACAACAAACAAAAAAATAAAACAAAAAAAATCAACTCCCTATTAAATCTCAACTAGCTAGAGAATGTGATGATAGTAATTCTTATATGGGATATGTAGCTCTCGTGTCACTGCAGATGGGAAAAAGTGCAGCAACACTTATTTTTCTCAGGATACGCGGATCCTGATGTTTTTTTTTTTTTTTAAGCCAGGATACGACCACGTATCCTAGTATTAAAAATTTGCTGCAATTTTTCTCATCAGTAGTGAAAGGAGAACCGACGGACCCTTCTTATATACAGTTTTATCCTTACATATTTGTAAAAAGACTCTTACAAATTTGACATTATTGCTTAAGGCTCGTCCTCTTTATCAAATTTGACACCACATCTTAATAAAAGTCTTAAGGTGTTAAATTCAAGGTTCTTTCACTTGTGTAGTCTTTCATTGATTCTTAATTAATGTGAAATTTTATCACTCTCTTAAATTTTAAACGTACAAGGCATTCTCAACTCGTCTAAAAAAAGGATTCGACATCAAAGACAATGATCTTGTTTTACAAATAGAATTTTGTTGAGTTTATTCAATGTGTTTCTTATTTTTCAGTTCACTCCACTTACTGGTCTTCTGGATTCTCTTTGAGAATACCATGTCTCTACATCGAACAAAGGCAACAATTATTGGTCTACTAGAGGCTAGTAGAGTGAATGAGTGGATTGTCACTGAAAAACTTGGAGATGCTCTCAAGGGCAAATCTGGGGGTAAAGCACCCAAGAAGCTGCGATTCAGGATTGGAGACAGGTATAAAAAGGGTATTATTTTTGGTTTCATTTATCAGAAAACAATAACACTCACTAATTAATGTTTTAGATTATATTAAAGTTCATACTTATCTATGTTTGTTTTGTGCTCAATATAATTAGGATTCACATGTTAGAACTTTTTGTTGGATTCTACCTCCTCTTCTGTGGCTGCTATGATCTTATGTTCGGGAAAAACCACTTCTTCATATTCCTGTATATCCAAGCATTTGCTTTCTTCATCATGGCATTTGGATATGTTGGCACTTTCGTTCCCAACTCCTAGAAAGGACTTTGGCAATACTCCATTCAGCAATTCCGGTTTCTGTGCCTTCAATATCTACATATTGTAATATAGTGTTCACAGCATAATCTGTCACATCAGAAATCAAAGCTTGTTATATTATAAAAGAAAGGGTGGTCATTCTTCTAGGACATAATCAGAGTCAGTGACTCCAAACAGTAATTTTTTTTTTTAATTTTTTTGAATATTCAGCAAAGATACATAAGGAAATTACTGTAGTTATTCTCATGGAAATGAAGCATACAGAAAATCAACACGGCAGCAATTGGTCCTCCCTGGGGCACACATCTTTCATTGGATGGATATTTATAAGATTTTGTAGCTCTTTTTTTTTTCATTTTTTTAAATTTTGTTAAAACGTTTCCTTCTTTTGCCTTTCTTTACATTGTATTTGTTTGAAGAAATAAGCAGCTTCAAGAAATGGGAAAGATTACACAAAGTTCCATGCTGGATCTCCTTTTTGTCCCTCTATTTTTTAGTCAACATTATACAAAATTTATGGCAGGGTGGATGAGACCATTCCCTAATACCAACAAAGTTCCATGTTTCAATTTTCAATTTCCTTTTCTTTGTACTTGCCATTGCCATGGCCTAATTCCAGTTGCCAAAATATAAGGAGTGACCTTTTGGTACAACGGGAGTAGGTATTTCATTATCAAAAATGGAAAAAAAGGGAGATATAGAAAGAAATAATTATAAAGATACGGAATAGGGATAATATAAATATAAATATATATTTTTTTTCATATTTGATAAAGAATGCACTGAATAATTGATATATCTTTGTCACCGAAAATATTTTCACATATAAGAGTTTACTTTGGCAACAGAAACATAAATAAACTAAGGGTTTTATTAGTGTTATGTAACATAATGTAAGTGTTGTTTCTAACTCTCACATCAAAAGGAGAGAGAAAGTGGAATGATGAAAGAGAAAGAAAAACATATGGACCTCACCTCTTTAATATGTGTGTAAGAAAGTGAAGTTATATTATGTTAAATGATAAACATAAAACCCATAAACTAAATCAGTCATTTTCCCTGAATCCTGAAAAGGGTAAAAACATGTCAAAAGCATTTAGTAAGTATCTGCTCTCTGTTTCTCTTCCATTAATAATCCAACAACCCTATCTGAACACAAGTCAATTTCTCATTAGTCTCTTAAAAGAGGGAAAGATGAGGTCGCTGAATTTGCTATAGTCACAGCATAAATTACAGCCTAAACTAAAACAAAATATGACAAGTAAAATGAATTAAGAAAAAAATGTTTCTCCTTTTAAATGATACAACTTCTGCCATTTCACTCTCATAGAGGTGAGACTCACACTTTTATATTTTTTCTCCACTCTCTCTCTTCCTTTATCTATCTCTTTCTCTCTCTTAAAATGACACAACTTTACATCCTTTAAAATGATACACACTTTTTTCTGAAATTAAACCAACTAATATTGTATTTTATTTAATATCTCTATTTTCCCCCTTCAAATTTGGGAGCTGTAGAAAGAAATAAAACCGCTCAATTCCCAAATAATGAAATAGAAACTTTGTTTCACTCTATCACAAAATATCTAAGTAATGGTATTGTAATTTTATTTTTTATTTCATTCAACATTACATATTCAAACATAACGTGAAGGTTTGAGTCTAAAAAAAAGAAAAAGAAAATACCCTCACCATCGTAACTGAGAGATCATTTTCTATACATATGTAGTACTTGTATGTGCCATTCAGAAATTGACATTTAGACTGAAAAATGTTTTCTTTTGTTTTCTGTATGAATATCACAGTTGATGCTCCATTTTTATTGGTCGGTCACACCAAATGCAACGTGCGACTGAGGTATTTTCAGGAACAGTAACCAAAGTGTTACTGTTGACAAAAAAATTATCAAACTGTCATACCAATAGTAAATTTTGTCAAAATGTCACGTGGCATATTTCGCTACACTGTGTAGCGAAATATGCCACATCAGAACCAAAAATGCCACATGTCAAAATTGGAGAAATTCGCTACCCTATGTAGCAAATTTATCCAATTTTGACACATGGCATTTTTGGTTCTGAGCATTGTGACGAGGCATATTTCGCTACCTGTGTAGCGAATTATTTGCACACATATTTCGCTACATAGTACAGCAAAATATGCCACGTGACATTTTGACAAAATTTACTGTTGATGTGACTTTCTGATAAATTTTTTTGTCTAACAGTAACTAAATGGTCACTGTTCCGTAATTTCAATTCTCCAAACTTACCTAGTCGTCTATCTCTCCTGCGCTTTTACACTCACCTTCCCTTTAAGCTTAAAAGTCTTCTGAGCTCTAACATACCTTCATTAGAGCTTTGATTCTCTATATTATACTTTTCCTCGACTACTATTAGATTTTTATATGTTTCTACGTGGGACAACCATTATTCCTAAACACTATTGTTGAGTCTCTAAAAAGAGACGTTAAATGTTATCGGAGTAGATAGATTTTGGTTGATTTATGAAGCTTTGACCTCTTTTATGTTTATTTACCAACACACTCTTAAGAGGGTGTTTGATATGAAGACTTTGATACAATTTTTGGGAAAGTGTAGTGGAAAAAATATGTTTACTATGTTTAGTACGAGATAAATTAAAAAATACCGATAATATGTTTTCAACTAACATTGGCAAAAAAAAAAAAATGTCATTCGAATGGTGGTAACCAAGAAACGTGTTTATAAAATTTGTGATAGAAATGCCTTGAATAGATGTGTTAATAAAATTTGTGGCCTGAAACACATTATCGTCATCGTCATCGTGATCGTGAGATCTACTCCTTCGTCTCCGTCCGCTCCGTCCTCCTTTTTTTGGCTGGTATGCACTTCAAAGTGTGGTTTCTAGTTCAACCTGATTTTGTCTCAACAATGTTTCTTCGTAATCTGGTTTATGTACTTTATTTGACATTTATCAGCCATCCGCCAAGTTGAGGAGCATCTTCCGAGTACAACCATCTTGAGGAGCATCTTCGAGCTTCACACCTGTGCCAAAGATACCGTTATGCTTCTTCTGAGGTATTAAATTTTTGAATAATATCGCAACACAATTTTTGAATAAAAAAGCTGAAAGACTGGCTCATTCATTCCAAATGGGCATTAAATTGAGATGTAAATAATTTCTTTTATAGATAATTAAAGTAGTTATTAAACTGATTTTTTAAAGACAGATTTGAGGTTTTTTATTATATGGCTATTATTATAGGCAACATCTATTATATTATTATAACATAGATGGAGAACAGTGACCATTTTGTCACACATGACCAAAATATTTACCAAACTGCAACGCCAACAGTAAATTTTTCCAGAATGTCACGTGACGTAATTCGCTACACTGTTCAGCGAAATATGCTTGCAAATAATTCACTACACAGTGTAGCGAAATATGCCATGTCAGGCTGCACAGTCAACAGTAATGACACGTGTCAAGCAGCATTAATCCAAGCATAATTCGCTACATAGTATATTGAATTACTGCCTACTTGACACATGTCATTTTTGCTGACTGTGCAGCCTGACATATATTTCCCTATACTATGTAGCAAATTATTTGCAAGCATATTTCGCTGAACAGTGTATCGAATTATGACACGTGGCATTCTGGAAAAATTTACTGTTGGCGTGACAGTCTGGTAAATATTTTGGCCAGGCGTGACAAAATGGTCACAAATCCCGTAGATGGCCTTGGTCGCAGTCGCACTTACTGAAGTCTCTGTTTTTTTTTTCTTCGTCATTTTTTTCTTCGGATAGAATATTATTACTATCAAATAATACTATTATCAATGTTACTATCATATCTTAACTGTTGATTTCGGCTAATCATTAGTTATCATTTATTGGAAATTAATAATTAATTAATAAGTTTGATTTGTGGAAATAATAACCGTTGATTGACAGAAATCAACGGTTAAAATATATAGTGACATTAATAGTAACATTAAGATGTGATAGTAATATTGATAGTAATATTATTTAGTAGTAATAATATCCTATCCCTTTTTTCTTTACGTAAAGTCTGATTGCCTTCTATTATTAAAAATAAAAAAATAAAAGCTCAGTGTTTTCTAGAAAATTGAGAACATTGTTTTGAGTAAATATCCTTTTGGGTCATTAACAAAAAATATGGAACTTATTTTAATCATTTAAAAAAATACTCATATTAGTCCTTTTTAAGGGACGAATATAGTTTGTTTGTTTTTTTTTTAGGGACCACAATTTCAAAGAACTAGAATTTCAAAGGAACTATAAGTTGATTTTTTTTCTAAAGAATTAAAATGAGTTCCGTATTTTTTTTGTTGAGAATCCAAAATGATATTTACTCCAATTTTTTTATTCCATCATCTTTGTCTTATAGCTATATAAACATATGCTTCAAAAATAATTTTCGCCAAGCTATCATCTATTTTATGTTCAATTATGCAATATGATTTATTCGAAAAATAAGAACGTATTTTATATTAAGTTTTCAGATTTTTTATGTTATTTTTAGGGGGGGCGTTTAGTAGAGGAGAAATTTTTTTAAATCCGGAAAATAATTATTACCGAAATGCAATAGGAAATATATGTTTTCCAGAATTTGAGTAAAAGGTGTTTGGTATGGTAAAATTTTCCCAGGAATTTATGATTAATTTTACTGAATGTGTGTTTGGTTAGTTGTGAAATATTAGTGGGAAAGAGTTGTTATTTTACGAAATTAACCTCAGGTTTAAGTTATTTTTGTAGACAACGAGAAGGGTTTGGTATGAGATACATTCATTAGGGACATCGACATCTGAGCTGGAAGCCAAGAGGCAGCAGCAAAGGCTTAATTTTCTCATACAACAAACTGAGATGTACAGTCACTTTAAGCAGAACAAGTCAAACTTACTATTGTCTGAAGCTTTACCCATGGTAGAAGAAAAAACAAATGATCAAGATGCAGTGTTCAACTCTTCACATGCTGGGCCTAGTGAGGAGGAAGATCCAGAAGAGGCTGAATTAAAAAAGGAAGCTTTGAAGGCTGCTCAAGATGCAACCTCTAAGAAGACATGTTCGTACCAAAAAGAAGGATAGTTTCGTCAATATTCGTGTGCCTCATTTTATATTTCCCCGAGACGGAAAGAGTTCCAACTTTTCAATGGAGTTTCATATCTGTTTTATGCATTGTAGATAACACATAACAAGCTTTGATGGGATAACTTTGAACACTGGATTTTTTTCATTTTGTTGGAACCAAAAATAGGATTCCCTTATGTCAGAGCAAGCTATCCCGGGAAAAGAAAAAAAAATCGGGTACCAAACGCCCCCTTAAGGGAATAGTTTCTTCCAATCTCTTACAACTGGCCTGGCTCTCCAATTTTTTTCTTCAAAATTTTAATAATTGGTTCTATTTTATAAATCATATTTTATTATTTTACAATAATTTATAAATATTTTAATAATTTCAAAAAAAAAATAATTATCAAATTTTTATTACTATAATAAATTTTTCATTTTTGAAATTAGAGATTAAAAAAATCATACAAGTGAGAATATAATCATTTGAAAGGAGTTCTTTCCTATATTAATTGTGGTGTTATTTATATAATATTTTGCCAGGGGATGCATGGGTCGAATTAAACTGAATTAAACCAATTCGGTTCAAAGAACCGAACTTTTTTCTTTATCCCAACCCGGTTTGGTTTGGTTTGAAAATAGTTCGGTTTGGTTCGTAACCAGTTTGAATCGAACCTATTTTGAAAAAAAAATTATTAAAAATGTTAAAGAAATAAAGTAACAAAAATAAAAGAAGCTACTAAATAAATAAGAAAAAAGAGAAATAAAAAAAGAAGAGAAAAAGGGAAAGAATAATTCGGTTTACAAACTGGTTTTTTAAACCAGTTCGGTTCTTGATATGGTTTTTAAAACCAGTTCGGTTCTTGAATTGTTTTTAAAAATAAGTTTGGTTCATGAACTGATTCTTTAAAAATCAGTTTGGTTCATGAACTAGTTTTTAAAAATCAGTTATTTTTAAGTGTAGTTTAGTTCAATTTACAGTTCAGTTTAGTGTTTTGGTTCTTTTGCACATCCCTATATTTTGCACATTGAGAATTGTTATGGACCAATTAAATTGTTCCAACTTCATATTTTCACTACATGACTTGCACTAAGCATCTCACTCTACCATTCTCTCTCAATTTCCCTCCATTACATGTAATCATCCACTAAGCATTGCATCGTATCACTAAGTCACCTGCAAAACTACCCATTATGTGCACAATCTTCTAATGTACCTCATTTATATATGGCCCCTTATAGCTAATGAAGGGAGAATCTCATAAGTTATCTCAATATTCACAAAGCTTGCCAGCTTGCCTATAACATTAACACTTGTGCCCGAACACATCATATCCACTAAACAGGTGACCCATACACACCTCATTTATTCATACCATCGGACTATTGGTTAGAGGTACTGGACTTCCCATTGCTAGTCATATCTGTCTTGGGTCCGTAAATATAATTATTAGCTCTTCAGCTAGACATTGATGTTTGCCTTTGAACATTTGACTCTGTTTGTGGTAAATCAGTAAATTTCAATTCCCGCCCTACTAATATGATGAACACAAACAAGGCAGCCTCGTCAATGCCACTGTGATCGATGAACAACATTGTCCAATCCACCAATGCCAAAGCCGAGCACAACGCCTCGTTGCCCTCCGATTTTGGGTCTTGTTCTGCAAACAATCCATTTCTCAACGGCTTCAAAAGGGAGAATTGTTTCGTCACGCACATATCAACAATACCCACAATTCCAAAATAGTGTTGGGTGTAAGAACACTCAGAATAACATATAAGACAAGTGACATCTTTCTTTTTTCATTTTTATAAATTAGCTATTGTTTGCATATTTAATAAAAAAAGGAAAAAAATGAAATGGAAAACAAAATATGCAACTACACCCATAATATGCATACAATTTATTCTATGGTTGACTAGCGTAGATTTTTTCCTAAACCCACTTCATGGTATGTGTATGAGAATTTTGTATGTAAAAAGTTGAAAATAATATTATTTTAATTTCGAGATTCATATTTAATGCCTTCAATTTGAAGTCTTGCCACTTGTCAAGAGACATTGTACACATACATTGAAACTTGAATATCAGTGAGTTCCTCTTATTATTATTAAATCGAACCCATAATCCTGCAATATCATTAATTCAGTGTAGAGGCTCGTGGTGGAGTATGTTAAATGTTTTGCATATACCAAAAATTAAAAAAGAAAAAAGTGATGCCTACTTATGTGATGGTTGAAAACTTCCCTTCTACACTTTCTTCTTTTGCAACCATAATATGTTCTAAATTTCATTCTTCATGCTGATTATGATACATTTCACTTGTGATATATGTGTTTCTTAATAAGCCGAACATTCAATTAGCTTGTCCATATTCATGTTTCAAATTACTCCAAGCATTGTGACATTTTTCGATTCAACCCCAACCGGAAGAATTTTGAACAGGACAAAAATATGATCCTCTTTGCAAAGAAAGCAAAAGGAGCAATATCTTCCTCTTCCTTTTTCTGATAGTCCATTATCATCATGTTCTGAAGTTTGGCAATAGGGAGAAGAGAAGAGAAGAGAATGTTTCTTATATAGGAACACATAACAAAGTTATGCAGATGGAGTAAACCTTGATTATTCTACTCCATCGTATTCATGACAAACTGTTTGAATTACTTCATTGCCTATTTTTATGTGATACACTCAATAAGGCTGTTACAATGGCCAACATTTTGCACAAACTTCCACCTCCTTTTTATGTTAAAAGCGTCTTGATCAATACTTCAATTCATAACTTTGCAACTTACAGACTGACTTTCATAATTATTTACTGCATTATTAGGATCTCTTGCCTCATGAACGTCACAATTAATAGACATTTTATTTTGGGAGATGCTCTTGCTTTTGGATGTTGAAAACCCCTTTTGATTATTAGTTGTACTTGCAAAATGTTAAGCTCAGAATCTATTGATTCTCCTTGGCATCAAATAATTCACCTCCTTGATTTTCTTAATGACACAGGATGATAAAAAAAAAAGGGACATTGATTTATAAGCTTCAAGCAGCCAGTAGTCCTCATGCTTCTTTTCTTCAGTATATGTGGCTCTTTCTAAAACCTATCTTGTCTTTTATTATCTTTATAACCTTTTAATAAATGTGCTAACAACTAATAAATGATATCTTCCTTGCAAGCTTGCATGTTTTATATTTTTCAGGATGCAAGACATCCACCGGGTTCACAATTCAGTGACAAAGCAATCACAATCCGGCTAGAAGCATTAAGTCTTATGTTCTTCTAAGACCATGGGCACCCGAATTCAACAATGAGCTATTAAGTCCCATGTTTTTTTGAGACCATGGGCACCCTAGTTCAACAATGAATCATGAGCATCAAGTCTCATGCTCTTCCTAGACTATGGGTACCCGAGTTCAACATTGAACCACGAGCATAAAGTCCCAAGCCCATAAGGCCATAAGTCCTTATTATTCTGAATGATCTTGACCAACGCGCAAGACATCTTCATATAGGGTTCTCACAGCCTACTTAGGCACGCAATTAATGATTATTGCTTTAATTTATTGCAGGTCTAAGCTGATATTCCAAGATATAACCTATGGCTTCAAACTCGAAAGTGATTACAAACCTAGAGACGAATACGAGCAACAAGCAACCCAAAAAAGCAACTTGGAACCCTAGAGGAGTCTGTTGCAAAAAATCGGCAAGTGTACCGATCGTTCCAAGTAATAAAGGGATGAGTAGAGTATCGTCTCCACGAGGATTGAGGCACCAAAATTATTATAAATATTCCTCTCTTGTTGGATTAATAAAATGGGTGTAAGAACAATTGTAGGTTGAGAAAATTGAGAACAATTCAAGAACTTGCGAATAATTCAAAGATGCTTTTAAAACCTTGAAAACAACAGATTAAGATTGAGAAAATATTTAAAAGAATATTGCGGTAAAGAGACACCAACACCTTTATGATATCCACCTTGCAACCTGAATTAATGTTTACATTTAATTTAACCATTGATCAAACAATTCACCATCTTTTAATTGATTAGTTAAGCCATAATTCCTTAGTGATCTTAACTTTATTAACCCTATTAGAATCCTAATCCCTTAGAAATTCCTTTTCAAGTTAAGCCTGTTTAAATCAATGAATCTTTCACGTTTGCAATTCATGTAGCCTATCCCTAGTGCGTACATGAATTGTTATTTTACCCTTTGTGAGGAACTAGAATCTCAATATTCCTATTGAAAACCCTAACCCTCGCAATTCCAATAGAGTGATCGGTTCTAGAAGGATTATAAGATGAAGAACAAGATAAAATAAATGCAATTAGAATAATTAAATATAAAAATTAATCAAACTACAAGGGGTTCACATCAAGGGTTGTGGCCCTTACCACAATAATAAAAGACTAGCCATACATGTTCGTGTCTGACAATTCAATGTATGAAAAAGAATTCATGAATAAATAATAACCAGAAAATTTGGGAAGAAGAAAGCTTGAATCTTCAATCCAAGAGCATGCTCCGAGTTCTGCCTTCGTAATCTTCTCCGTGCAAAAAGTTCTTTTCTTTAGGGTTTATGACTCCCTTTTATACCCAATTACCCAATCAGGTCATAATCTTCCAGAAGATTTGATTTTTCTTTCTGTTTCTATCCAAATCTGCAAATCAGGACGCTGAAATCATGACGCCCGCACGATCAGCGCCAGATCCGCGCGATTCGCGCGGGCAAGCAGTGGAGAACTCTGTTCTTGGCGCGACTAGCGTGAGAACCACGCTATTAGCGTGAAATTGAAGTGATGTTGCTCTTCCTTCCTTAGTATGGCGCGATCCGCGCCATTCTCATGTTATTCGCGTGAGTTGGTTGTTTGCAACATAGCTTATCTCCATGCTTTTTGTAACACCTCGTGTATACCCGGTTTGTTAACATGCCATCGTATTAAGCCACGCTTAATTAAAATGCAGAATATTCTTTTTCTTTCATTCATGACGTCATTAACTTAGCCAAGTTGATTACTTAATCAATTTCATAAAAACATGGCCTGTATATAAATTGCAAAAGACAGCTAACTGAAATACCTCATAAATAA